TCTGAGGTCCCTGGGAGTCGAGTAGAGCCCTGAGGATCGGAGCATCCACAAGCTTGTAAGCAGCGTGTGCGTGCTCCCAAAACCCGATATGGTCCTCTGCTCCCGCCATATCTGCCCCTCCCACTGACCGTACTAATCACACCACCCTCTATTAATCCCCCAGTCTCCTCCCTCACCACTCCGCGCCCCCCAGACTGGATTGGCCTTGGCCTCAGAGAGGGCTTCCCCAAGTCCCCTCGGGCCAACCCCGACCCCCCTAAAGACCCCGAACCCCTTAAAAATTTATTTAAAAACCCCTTTAAAAAAGCCCTCAATTTCAACTTCCTTAGGTCTCTTTTTTTGGCTGCTTTTTTTAGCTATGAAAGCTGGTTGGGTGACTTTGGGCCAGTCACTCACTCTCAGCCCAACCCACCTCACAATGTTGTTGTTGTGAGAAAAATAAGAAGAGTGTTGTGTTAGAGGAAGATGTGTTGAATACATTTGCCACATTCGGTTGTTTGTAAAAATAAGAAAGGCGGGATACAAGTAAAGAAATATTAGACGGCACTTTGCTCTAATGCAGTAAAATACACTTTCCAGAAGAGGACGGTCTAGCTGTGGAATTATAACCTCAAGAGAAGTTGAAACAAAAACTTAAGATAACCAATTCTTTCTTTCATAATGATGTACTTAATATACTCAAACATTTTAATCTATATCCCACTTTTATTATTTTTGTAAACAACTCAAGTCAGCAAACATCTCTAATCCTCCTTCCTCCTCCTGTTTTCCCCACAACAACAACCCTGTAAGGTGGGTTAGGCTGAGAGATAGTGACTGTCCAAAGTCACCCAGCCAGATTTTCATGGCTAAGGTGGGGACTGAAGGCTAAGAATAATGAATAGAATAGAATAGAATAGAATAGAATAGAATAGAATAGAATAGAATATATGGAATGGAATGGAATGGAATGGAATGGAATGGAAAATATGGAATGGAATGGAATGGAATGGAATTGGAGTGAAGTGGAGTGGAGTGGAGTGGAGTAGAGTAGAGTAGAGTAGAGTAGAGTAGAGTAGAGTAGAGTAGAGTAGAGTAGAGTAGAGTAGAGTAGAGTAGAGTAGAGTAGAGTAGAGTAGAGTAGAGTAGAGTAGAGTAGAGTAGAGTAGAGTAGAGTAGAGTAGGATAGGATAGGATAGGATAGGATAGGAGCTGGAAGGGACCTTGCAAGTCATCTAGTACAACCCCCTGCCCAAGCAGGAGTCCCTACACCATTTCTGACAGAGGGCAGTCCAGTCTCTTCTTGAAAGCCTCCGGTGATGAAGCACCAACAACATCTGAAGGCAGTCTGTTCCATTGGTTGATTGTTCTCACTGTCAGGAAATTTCTCCTTATTTCCAGGTTGAATCTCTCCTTGATCAATTTCCATCCATTGTTCCTTGTCTGGCCTTCGTGCTTTGGAAAATAGGTGACCCCCCCCTCCTCCCTGTGACAACCCCTCAAATATTGGAAGATTGCTATCATGTCTCCCCTGGTCCTTCTTTTCACTAGACTAGCCATGCTCAGTTCCTGTAACTGTTTCTTATATGTTTTAGCCTCCAGTCCCCTAATCATCTTTGTTATTCTTCTGTGCACTTTTTCTAGGTCAGGGGTCTTCAAACTTGGCTCTTTTATGACTTGTGGACTTCAACTCCCAGAATTCCTCAGCCAATGTGCCTGGCTGAGAAATTCTGGGCATTAAAGTCCACAAGTCATAAAAGGGCCAAGTTTGAAGACCCCTGTTCTAGAGTCTCAACATCTTTTTTATAGTGTGGAAACCAAAATTGGTTGCAGTAATCTGGGTGTGGTCTTACTAAGGCTTTATAGAGTGGTATTAGTACCTCACGTGATTGAATCCCTCTGTTAATGCAACGTAGGATTGCATTGGCTTTTTTGGCTGCTGCCACACACTGTTGGCTTATATTTAATTGATTGTCCACTACGACTCCATGATCCTTCTCACAGTTGCTGCTATTAAACCTAGTTTCACCCAATCTATATCTGTACTTTTGGTTTTTCTTGCCTAATGGTAAGACTTTACTTTTCTCTACATTGAATTTCGTTAGATAGGGCCCAGTGTTCAAGTCTGTCAAGATTCCTCTAGATCTTGAGCCTATCATCTAGGGTGTTGGCTATTCCTACCAGCTTAGTATCATCTGCAAATTTGACAAGTTCCTCTTCTATTCCCTCATCTAGGTCGTTTATGAAAATGTTGAAGAGTACTGGGCCTAGGACAGAACCCCACTACTTACTTCCGTCCGTGTAGATGTAATACCATTAAGGATTACTCTTTAAGTGTGGTTTGTCAGCCAGTTAAAAATCCATCTGATGGTGATGCTGTCTATCCCACTGTTTTTAAGCTTTCCAAGAAGTAGGTTGTGGTCTACTTTGTCGAATGCCTTAGCATTCCACTGGTCCATCACCTGATCCTTGGAACTCACATTCTCACGCTTTCTAGCCTGGTGCTTTAACCATTAGACCATGGGTGTCAAACTCGCGACATCACGTGACGTGTCGCGACGTAGCGTGACCTTTTTCCCACTGCCGGCAATGGGGTGGGCGTGTTTTTGGTGTGACGTGGGCCAGCAGTTTGACATCCCTGCATAAGACCAATAAATAATTCACCACATTCAGTAAAAACCTTCATCCATAACTCTGATTTCAATTTCATATTTTTATAGCGACAGTAATACAAATATGTAAATCACTTCAGTGGTCAAAATATACAATCACCAATAACTGTACTCTATAATGCAGAACCACAAAGTAGAGAAAGCTACTTTTTCAGTAGTGCTGGCTGATTTTCACTGAATGAAGGAAGAAAGGAAATGGAAGACGTTATTTTTTAAAATACATCTGGGTCCTTGCAACCTTGCTAGGGAGCTTCTGAGAAGTAAGGTCAATGCAGGAAACCAGATTCACTTAATGTCCACCTGATTGACTGTAGTGGTTCAGAAAAAAAATCATAAAATGAGGCAGAACTTATTTAACAATTGCCTTGCTTAGTAAGGAAAATTTTGGGCTCAATTATTGTAAGCTGAGAGCTACTTGTATGACCATTTATTTAGCAACTGTTCAAACGTACGATGGCACCGAAAAACAAGACTTATGACTGTCCCTCAGAGTTGAGCCTAAAGTTGCGGCATTCCCATGGTCACATGATCAAAATTCAGACGCTTGGCAACTGATATTTATGGTGGTTGCGGTATCCTGAGGTCACACGATCACTTTTTTGACCTTCTGAAAAGCAGAGTCAATGGGGAAGCCAGATTCACTTAACAACTGTGGCAAGAAAGGCCGTAGAATGGGGCAAAACTCACTTAACTGTCTCGCTTAGCAACAGAAATTTAGGGCTCAACTGTGATTATAAGTCGAGGACTGTCTGAACCCCATGATAAATTCAAGCTGCTATTCCCTCCCATTCATAGAAATAATTCTGGGGAACCAAAAAGTATATTCTAACATGCTCCTTGGCACAGTAGGCTAAAAACAAATGCCAGAAATCTGACTAATGTGAATTTATATACATGGCACTACATTTGGACACCCACAGATTATGTCAAGAGAAGTGACTGATGGGATGTCACATCAAATCATGTTGATGCAAGGACTGTCTATATCAGGGGTAGGCAACCTTGGCTCTTTTATGACTCGTGGACTTCAACTCCCAGAATTCCTGAGCCAGCTATGCTGGCTCAGGAATTCTAGGAGTTGAAGTCCACGAGTCATAAAAGAACCAAGGTTGCCTACCCCTGGTCTATATACTGTGAATTCCAAATTACTTCATCATCCTTCCCCACAATCCAAGTACAACCAGGTCTCACTACCTTACTTTCTGAATGGGTATTGCGATAAGCAATCTCAGCTTATTTTTTTTTAAAAAAACACGCCTTTGGTCTTTTTGTATGGAAGTGCAGCTGGAGCTTCCCGCGCTTGCGCACTCGGACTCTAGCTTCGGCTCAGCCACGCCCACTCTTTAGTGTCATTTCGCCTTCTCGGGCGAATCGATGGCTCTGCGCTTGCGCAGTCGCCTCCTTACCTCTCAACGGCGGTTGTGGTGGCGGCAGCGGTTCTTCTGGCTGGGACGCGGCGGCGCTGGGTGGCCGGTCGGGGTTTCTAAGGAGTTTGTTGGCGAGCAGCCCCGAGACGGTGGCACCGAGAGCCGCTCCGCACACGAAACCGCCGAAGAAGCGGCTCCGAACGAGGCGCACGCCTATCGCCTCTGCCATCGAGCCCGTCGGGAGGACCGCCAGACGGCAAGCGAGACTTTCCTCCGCCCCCCCCCCGCCCGGACTGCGCAGCCTCCCTGCCGCTCCGCTCCTGAGGGGGAAAAAAAAGCGCGCGAAAGTTGCTCTTCCCTCAGCCAGGCGTGTCCTTCCTCTCCCGTCATCCCTATCGCAAATGCAGGCAGTCCTCCACTTAACGTTAGCTGGCTCAGGAATTCTGGGAGTTGAAGTCCACGAGTCATAAAAGAGCCAAGGTTGACTACCCCTGGTTTAGTGACCGTTCAAAGTTATTGAAAAAAGTAACTTATGACCATTTTTCACATCCCCATAGTCACCTGGTCAAAATTCAGCCGCTTGGCAACTGATCCATTGCAGTGTCCCGGGGTCACGTGATTCCCTTTTGCAGCTTTCTGACAAGCAAAATCAATGGGGAAGCCAGGTTCACTTAACTGTGTCACTAACTTAACAAATACGGTGAAAGTTGTAAAAGAGGGACAAAATTAACAAAGGTCTCACTAAGCACCATAAATTTTGGACTCAACTGTGGTTGTAATTCAAGGACTACCTGTAGAGCACAGTTTCAAGAGCAGGGTTCATAAGCAATTAATGGATTAAGAGTTGGACAGGGCAACCTTGGAGGGCTTCTAGTCCCCAATTTCATAACATTAACAGCTTTGTGGATTGGCTGGGGAGGAGAGAAGGGATAGTTTCATGAGAATGGTCAGCAAGTACACAAAACTCCATTTGCATGAGCAGAATGCATGCATGCACGCATGCCGCTCATGCAAATGGAGTGCACGTTAACTGTTCATGCAAGTGAAAATGCGCATATGCGTGCTTCCAGCCATTTCTGTAGCCTGGTTGCAATCCCCTTGTGGCCGTAGTGGGCCATAGCCCACAAGTTGGGGACCCCTATTCTAGTCCAACCACTTGCTCAAGCAGGAGACCCTATTGTCATTTTAGACAAATCAGTGTCCAATTTCTTTTTAACAGCCTCCAATGATGGAGCACCAACAACTTCTGGAGACAATCTGTTCCCGAATCATTGTTCTCATTGTCAGAAAGTTTCTCCTTAGTTCTAGGTTGGATCTCTCCTTGATAAGATAAACCTTACTTCTTATGCTGCCTTCAGGTGCTTTGGAGAATAACTTGACTCCCTCTTCTTTGTGGCAGCCCCTGAAATATTGGAACACTGCTACCATGTCACCCCTAGTCCTTTTCACCAGACATCCCCAATTCCTGCAACCGCTCTTCATATATTTTAGCCTCCAATCCCCTGATCATGTTTGTTGCTCTTCTCTGCATGCTTTCTAGAGTCTCAACGTCTTTTTTTTATATCAGAACTGAATGGATGGGCAGCTATTGTTCTCAAGGGATCACATGAGAAATGAACTGTTGTGGAGGGCTGCTGCCACCACCCTTTGCCCCACTGCTGTGGTGGGCTTAACAAAGACAACCAAGGGGCCAAATATGGCTAGCAGTCCTTAAAATGCCTAGATCTGCTTAGGAGTTTGTGCATAACATCCTTGTAACTCCCTGAAATTTGGCCAGGAGGCATGAAAATAAAGCCACAGAGCAGACAGGGCAATATCTTGATGGGGGACCACTGGGACATCCCAGTTTGTAGGCTGGACTGAACTTGAACTGCTATCTCAAACAGACCACTTCTGTGTCGTAGTGAACAAAAAAAACCCCATGGCTGCATCCATGAAATCATCCTGATTTGAGCTGAATTTAAAGGAGCCTTTAGTATCAGCAGATAGAGCATCTCATTCAACCTAGTCCTAGATGGACTCTGAAGCTAAGCAGCTTGGAGTGCTTTATTTTATTTTTTCTCAGATGGGAGACCAACTACCAGGAAATTGTGGCCATAGAAAAGAAGGGAAAACCCTGAAAACGACTTGTCTTAAAGTAACCATGTCTATGTTGTTTGCATAAAATGTCACCAGGTGTCAAGCTCAATTTGAGGGTGTCTTTGTTGTCTTACATAGTAGAGGTAGTTTTTCTTCTCCTATTCTATGTGAAGTTGGCTGGACTCACAAACCTATAATTGGTTGTTTGTAAATCCCAAGAGCTTCATTCCATACATTAAGACAAAACTATACCAGCTCCACATGGCTTAGTGTCATTTGGGAACTCAATACCAATTTAATTTTGCAAGGAAGCCCTTTTTAAGAAGTATTTGAGGTTCAACTAGTGATATCTATAGAGGAGAAGGCATCAAAACAAGATAGTAGTTGTGACACTAATGCCTGAGCAGAGGGTTGGACTAGATGACCCCCAACCTCAGTCAACTGCACATTCAAATTGGGTTAGGGTTATTGTTGTTATTTCAAGCCCTGTTCTTTTGCATGTGCTCCATTGCACATACAGGTGATCCTCTACTTAAAACCATTCGTTTAGTGATTTTGAAGTTTCAGTGGCACTGAAAAAAATGACTTATAACCAGTCCTCACACTTATGACCAATGCAGCATTCTCTACTGTTTCATTGTCAAATTGGGCACCTGGCAACCAGCATGTATTTATGATAGTTGCAGCTTCTCAGGTCACATGATCACTATTTGCAACCTTCCCAGTTGGTTTCCAATAAGCAAGATCAATGGAGAAAGCCACTCAATAACTGTGTGTTTCACTTAACAAGTGCAGTAGTTTAACAACTGTTGCAAAAAAAAAAAAGTCAGAAAATTGGGCAAAAATCATTTCACAAATGTCTTGCTTGGCAGCGGAAATCTAGTCTCAATTGTGTCATACGTTATGTGCAATTATCACAATAGCTACAACCTCTACCCTGACTTTTGTTAAACCTAATGCTCCACCCATGGGTTCAGCGTAGCAAAAATATTTTTCAAGTAGAATTTATTGTATTAAACATGGTTGGATTTGCACTTCCCTAGTGTTTCTCTTTTAAAAGAATATATAGGTACTGTAGGTGATGGGTCCACATAATTGCTTTTTATGTTTAATTGCACTCTCGTAAAAATAAACAGCATATAATTGATTGCATGGATGAGAAAAAAAATTAGGAACTGGTAAGTAGCAATAAAATGTGAAAGGTTTTCAATTAAAGGTGAAATGTAGCAATAGCAATTGCCAAGCACTACTGTTCTAAATGGATATTTGTTACCTTTATGTGCATCTCAGTTGTGAAATTTGATTAGCGTGTAATGCTTGAACTTCACTGTTATTTAACTGTTTACAACCTTCCTTCATATGTGCAATTTGACTTTCCCACTTCTGTATTTATCAAGCATTTTTTATTCATCTGATGGAAATGGAATGTAATCATGTTAAAATTCTGCCACGTTAAATGTACTGATCTTTGAGTGCCAATGTTCAAGTACATCTGATTAATTATCTTTACACTTTAAAAGCTATGAGGTATTTCCCATGAAATTAGTAATAGTAGGAATTGCCTCCCCCAAAAAGCCAATCAGGCTATTTTTATCTTGTTTTTCTTTTTTGTCATTAAAAAATATCTGTTTAATTGAGCTTATATTTCTGTTCTCACCAGACCAGAATTGGTTCTGCAGTCATTAGAAAGAAATATTGATTGACCATCCCAGGCAGTAGTTTCATACAATTCACCATGTCTGTGTCTAGTGACTGCCTCATATAGTGACCATCTGCGTTTACAATGGTGATGAAAAAGTATCTTCGCAACCAGTGCCTGCATTTACTCTTGCAGTGTCCCTCAGTCCCATCATCACCATTATAGTCAGTATGTCCTGTGCCTGACCCTTTTCTCCCCCTCCCTTTCAGAGTGGAGAAATTCTTGGTGCCCTCTGAGCTTGCTTGTTTTCTTGCAGACATTTCATTACCCAAACTAGGTAACATCATCAGTGCTAGTAAGGAGTGTTAAGTAGTTTGGGTTAACGAAATGTCTGCAAGAAAACAAGCAAGCTCAGAGAGCACCAAGGACCTGTCATGTCAACCCTGAGCTACAAATATTCTCTTTTATTAGTGGAGAGATTGCCTAAGCAAGCTATATCTTCCTGAGTTCTTTTTCTCCAAAAGCGGAGCGGGTCCTAAAAAGTGTTTACTGCAAGTTAACAAACTCAGTTCTGTAATCTTAATTAGTTGATTAGCATTTTTCACTCAGTGACCATTTTGCTTAACAACCAAGTTACTGGCCCCCAACTATAGTTGCTAAATGTGAACTACCTAAAAAGTGAAAATGAATAATGAGTGTTATGTTTTGGTACACATAATCATTTGTACAACAGTGTCCTCTTAAGAGTATAAGGAAGCCCACTTTAGAAGTTGGGGCTATTCCCCGCAGAATTTCTTTGCAACATTATAAATGCATTCTTACCAATTGTTCTGTCCACCATGAATTTCCCCATTTATCCTCCATTCAAACTGTAAAATGCTTGCATTCCAAGTGTATGGTAATACTGATCAATGGATAACAATGATTACAGGAATTAGAATAAATGAAACAGCTACACAAATTAAGTATTGTATAGGTGATTTACCAAACTAGCATGTTACTGAACTGCAAAATCTGTCTTTTATGAAAAAGAATAGAATTAGAATAAAAAAAACCACAAAACAGATGGATAATTTGCCATTTAATGTTTATTTTCATATAGGAAAAAGATAAACTTTGAAATAGTTTTTTCTACATTTCCACCCCCTATTTGCTGGAGTGGAACTGCTTCACACAAGGCAAAAATACTACATTCATACTGTTTTATTTGGGTACCCTGTACTTGAAGCAGCGATACCCAAACTGGCAGATCTAATTTTCAAACATGAGACTCATTTCTAAAATACAACAGTAAAAAGAAACAAAGATCTATTGCAAATGCATGAATTAGGATACAATGCTTCAAAACATTTCCATTTAAGAGCTGCAGTACAGTGAATGTCTTCTTTAGGCCATCTTACATATGATATCTATATTTATATATAATATAATATAATATATATATATATAAAAATCAGCACACTTTTTCAGTTCAAAAGGGGTTACAGCTATGAGCTCCTCTGTTTAAATCTCTTTCTTTTAAGTGGATACTTATGTTTT